GTTGTGGTAACTGTTAGTGTAGTTGTTGGCTGCACTGTTGACGTGAGCGTAGTAGTTGGTTCTTCAGTTGTGGTAACTGTTGGTGTAGTTCTTGGCTCCACTGTTGACGTAAGCGTAGTAGTTGGTTCTTCGGCTGTAGTAACTGTTGGTGTAGTTGTTGGCTGCACTGTTGACGTACGCGTAGTAGTTGGTTCTTCGGTTGTGGTAACCGTTAGAGTAGTTGTTGGCTGCACTGTTGACGTCAGTGTAGTAGTTGGTCCTTCAGTTGTGGTAATTGTTGGTGTAGTTGTTGGTTGCACTGTTGACGTCAGCGTAGTAGTTGGTACTTCAGTTGTGGCCATTGTTGGTGTAGTTGTTGGTTGCACTGTTGACGTCAGCGTAGTAGTTGGTCCTTCAATTGTTGTTACTGTTGGTGTAGTTGTTGGCTGCACTGTTGACGTGAGCGTAGTAGTTGGTTCTTCAGTTGCTGTCACTGTTAGTGTAGTTGTTGGTTGCACTTTCGACGTCAGCGTAGTAGTTGGACCTTCTGTTGTGGTCACTGTTGGTGTAGTTGTTGGTTGCACTGTTGACGTGAGCGTAGTAGTTGGTCCTTCAGTTGTGGTTACTGTTGGTGTAGTTGTTGGCTGCACTGTTGACGTGAGCGTAGTAGTTGGTTCTTCGGCTGTGGTAAATGTTGGTGTAGATGTCGGTGTAGTTGTTGGCTGCACTGTTGACGTAAGCGTAGTATTTGGTTTTTCAGTTGTAGTAACCGTTGGTGTTGGTGTAGTTTTTGGCTGCATAGTTGAGGTGAGCGTAGTAGTTGATTTTTCGGTTGTGGTAACCATTGGTGTAGTTGTTGGCTGCATTGTTGACGTAAGCGTAGTAGTTGGTTCTTCGGTTGTTGTAACTGTTATTGTAGTTGTTGACTGCACTGTTGACGTGAGCGTAGTAGTTGGTTCTTCGGTTGTGCTAACTGTTGGTGTAGTTTTTAATTAAATATTATGGAAAATTTTACAATCACATATGCCCTCATTAAAGTATGAATCATCATCATTTATTATCATTATCAATATCATTGGCATTAGTGGCGTTATTCTTTCTATTACTGTATTTCTGGAAGTCAAATTACTGAAAGTATTTCTGGGAGTAAATCCATTCAACGACGAACAACATTCCCTTCTGTATATTCTATAACATTTTTTTTCACAAAATTGGTTTCATATAATATGTTCATGGATGACTACTTCTGTTATTCATTAATACTTCAAAGTATTATAAGTCAGAATGAGATGCACTATGCATACATACTTACACACGGGTGTTGTAAACGGGCCTAATGGTGGTGGTGTAATTGTTGTCACATTTGGTGGTGGACCTAAATATTACAGCAAAATAGAAAAAAATTAAAGCTCATAATAACTTTTACTAAATGACTATAATAATTAGACACAAAATCCAGACACAGTGTATAATTACTGCTCACAAGTACATAGAAAAAATTGATCTCTAATTACCCAGTTCAATGCACAGTATGACCTATAAAATGCACGATTAGTTTAAATTATATGATAATATAATTTTCAATTTCAATTAACATTTATTCAATTAATTAATAAATACATCAAGTGATAAATAAAGTGGACAACATTAAAATTAATTAATTAGGATCAAAAATAGAAGCAAAGCTTGTCTCCATTTGACCCCGACAAAACAAAAAGTAAAAACTAATAATAAACGCATATCAGGTAGACCTACATTTTATATACAAATATATATATATATATAT